GGGACTGCGTTGAGCCTTTTCTCTGAGAGCTGAGCTGTCTTTTAAGTGCAAGTTTCTCTCTTTCCAAGGATTCTGTCTGGGGTGGAACAGGATCTTCATCAGTTTACCAGTCCAACCATACGAGTGGGCAGCAGCAGCGCTTTGAGACAGTCACCTCAGGGAAGAAGAAAAAGAAGCAGAAGATGGTCCGGGCAGACCCCAGCCTACTAGGTTAGGACAAACATCCATCTGAAAAATGATTACTCTTTTATGTTTCATGTGCTAATTGAGTTGTTTCTTTTTACATTTTTAGGTTTTTCTGTGAATGCGTCATCTGAGAGATTGAATATGGGAGAGATTGAAACTTTGGAGGACTTTTAAGGGACTGCAGCCAAGCAAACCCCCCCACCCCCACTGACTGTATCCAATTTGAACAGCAGCTGCTTTACCCGAACCCCCAACTGCTTCCTCGACTTTCACCCTTTATTTTTCTGTTTCCCTTTTATCAGGAGTACACTGGCCATTGAGGCAGAGCGTATTTTTCTGGTGCGAATGGACCTTTGATCTAAAAGTTTAACCCTAGAGAGAAACAGACTGGAGCAAACAGTCGAGGGATACCCCCAATGGAGAGTCTGCTGATTTGCTGACATCTCTTCAGCTGCTTCATCCAAAATTAACAAATTTAAAATTTGGCCTAAACTGTATCTCATTGTTTTGTTTTGTTTTGTTTTCTATATATATTTTGAAGTGTGGATACATGAATGGGGTAGCTTGGGAAAGATTGGAGATTATTTCCATTGTTTTTTGTTTTTATTTATTGAGTTCCCCCCTACACTTTAGTTCCCCACCCCCTTCCTCCCCTCCTCCCTCTTTTGGCTGGGTGTTCATGGATAATGACAGCAAAGTAGAGCCCAAGGATTCGTGCCCACTTATGTCCTGTTTTAAGGACAAGTTCAAAAGTTCCAAGTAGTTATCTATTTCTTGTAAAATACTAGGCTGTTTAAAGAATAAACTTTCAATTCTGCATCTGTATTATAATATATGAAAATGATCTGCTGGAGTCATACTTTTTTATTGCAGTATGAAATAATAAAACAGTCTGATGTGTGGGCTGTTCACACCTGTGTCTGAACCATTCAGAAAAACTGCAAAATATGTGTGTAACTGATTTTTTTCCATTAACCCGGTCACACTGCAGGAAACCACATTTTAGACATCCTGTCCGTGAAGAGCTCGAAATGTATGCATGGAAATTTAATCAGTGCCAGGTGATTAAGAGGGTCTATTAATGAAATTAAATGTAGGAACCATGGGACAAGTTAATTATCTATGCATTTAGCCATGTAGACACGGCCAAGATGACCTGCTGGTGTTTAAGTATAAGAAGGGAGAAGAAAGATCACTATGTGCCATAGAGAGAGAAAATAACAGCTGAGGCTGTAGCATACACTGACTGGCCACAGTGTTTGGTACAGTTGTTCTACTGTTCATTAATACAATCACATATACCACATGGACAAGGTCAAGATGATGGGGAATTATTGTGACTTGCACAACTGTAAACATGACATGATTGCTGATGCAGACAGGCTGGTCTAAGTATTTCAGAAACTACTGATCATCTGGGATTTTCCCATACATCTATCTCTGGGATTAACAGGGAATGATCTGAAAACGACAAAAGAAAGCGTGACTTCAGTAACTCAAACAACCACGGCATGCAGAAGAGCATGCACAAAATAACCTTGAAGGAGATGGGCTACAGGTTGGATGTTTTCAGCAGCAGAAGACCACACCAGGTGCCGTTACAAAAGCAGATATGAAGCACTGTGTGATGCTGTCATGTGAGGAATGTTTCCAGCACCTTGCTGAATCTACTAATCTATCTAATTGAAGACAGTTCTGAAAGCAGATGGGAGTTCAACCCAGTACCAGTAAGGTTTAGCTAATAAAGAGTCCATTTAATGTATTTTGCGTGCAGTAAACCAGATTTTTGCTCCTTTATTTCTTTCATTTTTTTCCCACATAAGCAGTTTGTTTTGTTTTTTTAAAATTAAAACTAACACTTAAGCCTCGAAAGTACAGTATCAAAAACAGCTTACTGATATTGAGGAAGTAAAACTGCATCTTCCCACAGTGCTGGCGCTAGTGTTAGTTACATGGTCAAGTCATATTTTTAAATCCACAAAGGGGAAAATTCTCCCATAAACAACAAAACATTTTTTTTAGCACGTGCTCTGGAGAAGCGACATGTGATGAGTATCCGTAAGGCAAAAACAGGAATGATGAGCTTCCCAAGAATGACTTGCTAAGAATGACTTGACCTACTTATAGTGATCAGCCACAACACTAAAACTATGGCTGAAAAGAATAACAATCATCTTGTTCCAATGAAATGTTTTGCAGAAGTTACTTTGGTTGTGAATCTCTCGGCTACATATTACCACAGACCAAGATACACCTAAAGCACCTGCCACAACACAAAAACTGCACAAGAGACTTGACAAACAACCCAAGGTGTTGAACTGTCTTTAACTCCACAGACTCAAGTTAGGTACTCTGGTACAAGTTCAATCAAAATCAGAATGAAAATTTATTTATATAGCACATATTAAAACAACAATGTTAACCAGTACTGTTCACAACATACATGATGTCCCACAAGCCCCAAAGGATCTGCTACCAAAACCTTGTTCAAGACACCACAGGACAGCCCTAGAGTTTTATTTTGCCGTTCGCAAGGAGATCACTAAGATTTTAACATAAAGACAAAATCTTTGAACATAAACATTTTTAAAGTTAGTGTAAGTGTAAGTTTGCAGACAGGAAATGCTGGAAAACTTGCAGAAAGAGGAAAATGACCCCATCAGTACAGTTTGGGTTGTTAAACTGGTTCTGTTCTGAAAATGTGAAAATAGTTCCCTTGGTAATACTTGATAATTTAAGCACTTAGCATCTAATATTTAATTCAACGGTATTAGATGAGATACACCTGCTGACGATGTCATCATAGTTTGTGCTTTCTATGATAATCTGATTTTGTAGTTCCCAGAGGAAGCACCTGTCAGGTTTGAATCCAGGCCAGAACCTGATCTGTGTTGTGAAAAAGCCCCTAAAACGACAGAGATGTGCAGTGATTAGGCTTGTTGTGTTGTTCTCAGTGACAAAATCAAATCAATCTTCAAAAGGGTAAATAGGAACTGAAATGTCCTCATGCTACGTTGCCAGATTGTTGGCTACACCCATGAGTCATGGTCAGAAATTTATATGTGCTCATCATTGCCATGCGTCTCAAAATAATTTTGGCCTTTTATTGATTTCTTTGAACTATTCTTTTTCCAGGGCGGAATGATTGGACAACATACATCTTTAGTGACTTTACAAAACAAGAATCGGGTGGGCAAGTTTGAATTTGTTTTGTATTTTCTCTAATCCTCACAGAGTTAAAGTATATATACAGGCTTAAACATATCTTCTGCTTGTGCTGTGTTAGTATCTGCATATCATTGAATGATGGTAATCTTCCTGCCCCTGGCTATCATGAGTCTTGGTGAGACTGGTTTCCATGCCAACAGCGCCCTTGTAGCCTCTGGCGCCAACAGTAGCGCGAGTCCTTGGGTGTGATCGTGGTCCGCATCTTTGTGAGTAGATTATGGTTTCACCTGAAGCCAGTCTGGTCTGGCCGCTTCCGATCCATCGGGTCTCACATAGTCCGAGAACCTTGATGCTGTATCTTCTCATCTCATTGGCCACCTGCGCTGACTTGCCACTTTCATTCAGGGTTCTGATGTTACAGGTCCATATCCTGGTCTTGGCCTTGGTCGTAAGAAGATTTGTCGGCGAGCTTGCTTCCGAAAGGCTTTCACTGGCACGCATCATGGGCCCCACTGAAGAGGAGTCTTCCCGTCCAGGCAGTTGTCGGGATGTACTTGTTGTTGCAGTTTCTGTAGCATGGCTTTTTATTATAGGATGGGGTTGCTAGCCCCACACCCAACCCTCCTCTTTTCTCATCCTGGGCTTGGGACCAGGCAATGGCGGAGTTGGCTCTTATATATATACTCTCTCAAATCTTTTAAGAAGTGTGCTGAAGGTTCTACAAAATCTTTTAACTTGACAAGGCCAAGGCGTATTTACAAAAATTGAGATATTTGGCTGCAATGACCAGAGGTGGGTTTGGAGGGGTAAAGGTGAGGCTTTCAAACATAAGAACACTTTACCAGCTGTCCAGCATGGTGGTGGTGCTCTGGGGTTGTTTTGCTGCCAGTTGTATTGGTATATTGCACAAAGTGGATGAAATAATAAAAGAGGACGACCTCCAGATTCTTCACCTTCACCTCAAACCAACAGCTAGACGGGTGTTGGGGCTTCCAACAGGACAATGATCCCTAATACACATGAAAACTGTTTTTTGTAAATGATAGAGCAGACCACAAGTAAACCGACAGAAATAAAAAAAAAAATGACCTCACTGGTAGGTCGCCTAAGACTGACTGCTCAGGAAACCAGCAATTCCTGCAGCAGGTGACTTAACAGGAACGGAAGGAAAATATCACTGGGCCATCAGCCTGAGCGTACATGTAGAAGCTGGTATTTTATGAAGAGTCCCCCAACTCTTTGAAAGTGTCAGTTTGCTGAAGCACCCCTTTAAAATACTGTCCACATATTTGAAGCAGTATCAACAAAGATACTGTCTTTAGATTTTCTCAGTACGTAGTTTATCACTGACACCCTCCAGTTTGCAGTCAGACATTTCCTTTAAGAATTGAATGTCCAATAGAGGCCTGCGTGATGTGACCAGGCCCGAATGTTTACCTCTCACCCCAACTATGTGACCGGAGAAGTTGTGGAGTGGGTGGGCCCCCGTGATGATGTGTTCACAAGGTCCACACTGTCCAGAAAATCCTGTGCACACCTAGTTCCACCCACCATCCCTCTCTCCCTCTCTCTCCTGCTTGCTTTCCCCTCACCTTTCTCCCTTCTGTGCTCCCCCGTACTCTTCTCCTGCTCCCCTCACAGACTCAGCTATTTGTTAAGAGACTCTGCTTGAGGAGTTTTTGGAGACGCTCGTCGCTTGCAGCCGCCATGGTTCACAGCAGCAGCAGCATCTGCAGAGTTGCCCTGCTGGTACTCTTCAGCCTCCTGGTAGCCTTCGTCCATGCAGGTAAAACCTCTAGTTCTGAGTAATATTAGTATATATATATTTGTGGAATACATTTGTCGAATACACAATAAAGATCACCTGGTTGGGCAGAAGTTAATGGAGGTGGAAATGTTTCAGAACGAAACATGCAAATGCGTAAAGAAAGCATCAGCCTGTCGCATTTTAAATGTGGACAAATTCATTTTTTTTACATTTTTTTAAGTAGGTTGAGGTGATTTCTTTACAGACACTGAGATAATTTCATAATCTCCATAAAGACGAAAGTATTTTCTTTTATTATAGCTGAGCTTTTCTTATATATGAGTACATTTTTAGGGTTTTTAGACAATGTTGCCTGCGTTTCTCACAGCTCTCAAACAAAAAACTTTGTATATTCATGTCATATTTCCCACAAAGGCACACTGAGGGCCTGATGTGTGTGTCGGCGGCTTGATGTAAATGATGCAGTTGTGAGAACTGAGAGAGCTGTGAAAGCTGCTCTTTGACGAACAGGATGACTCAGTTGCTTTGCCTGATGTTCGTATGAAACTCAAACCCGCCGCCCTCTCACTCGAGCTAAGCTGAAGTGATTCAGCGTAGTGCTGGTTTGGATTTTGGTACCTCTGCAGAGCATTTTATGTGCGTGAAGAGAATTTAGAGATGGTAAGAAGAACATTTCACACAAAAACTGTTGGTTCTCTGAATAAGGGCTATTTTGGATTGACAATCTGAAATAGCCCTTGACAGATTGCCACATCACTGCTCTTTCTTTCACTTTCTCTTACCTCTGCCAGTGTTTCCTTGGAATATATCTCATATTCACTCGAGAAAACCTCGGGAGACTGTAGACTGGCTCTCAGACCTAGAGGTCAGAGTAGCAGTCAAGAGGGCGACGGGGCAACAAGGTCCTCCCTGTCTTGTATGGGAAAGAGGCAAAGAAAAATGTGTGACCTGTCACCGATTACACAACACCTACATATATTGTGAAAGACAAGTCTGCAGGAGTTATGACTTGCCTACAGCTTTCTACATTTTGTGGGCTGTTCTAACTTTGGAGGGTGCAGTTGCAAGGTGAAAGCATGTCCTCTATGCCTGCCAACACTGACGAATGAATGCTTTGTTGGATCACAGAACAAAAAAGAAAAACTCCCGCCAGGAGAAGTGCTAATAAGGCCAAGTTGTCATGGCTACAGATTGCATCTATGCTGACTTCTTATATAAAATTGCGGTGGCACGACTGCATTGTCATACAGCAGTGTCCTCAATTGTTGTCACAAGTCTTGACCACAACATCATCCAAGATGAGCGTGACAGGCAGCTTCATTGGTTGACTCAGCATGGGAAACACACAGAGAAATGTCAAATAAGAAGTTTAAGCAAAAACAGTGTGATAATTACTCACATACACTCAGTGCTGAAAATCGTAGCCTTGACAGTGGTGTAGTTGTGTAATGTGAAAATGGAAAACAAAGTCTCTTCAGACTGTCCTTGTTTCAGAGTAAAATCCAAAACACACACCAATTATTTTTCAAATATTTTACTGTGGAAAATGTGTCCACCTACTGTGGTATTTTAAGATGGCGAAACGAGGGCACACAACACCACCGGTGTAATGTCTGGGCTGCCTTACTTGTGGTTTTTGATGCTCTGCCAGGTTGCTTTTCACATGCATTCGTCTGCGTGCTTTGTCACCTGTCTGACTTGTGTGAAATCCTGAGCAAGGAGGCCAGGGGCCCCAACAAATGGGCCTCTGTGCTTTTTAGTGTCTGAAATCAGCCCTGCCCACAGCCTACCAAACGCGTAGCGAGTCTGCGCTATATAAGAAGAAAGGCTAACGTCTGGAGTTGTGTATCTTTAAAAAGAGAGAAACAAGCAAAGATTTTTTTCCACCCTGAAAAACGCAATGTACACATATGCACGCAGTGAGCACTACTACTGTGAGCAGGAAACTGCACGTAAATGACAGATGCAGCAAATATGTTACAAATTAAAATTCATATATGCAATTTCATTTGATTTGTTAGAAGGTTCAAAAAACACTCCAATTAAAAAAAAAAAAATTCTTGCAATCTTTTCCTGGTTCACACTTCACATGGTTAAATCGGACAGACAAAACTGTCATTTTATATATAGCACACATGTTAAGACAACTCAAGGCTGCTGTTGCTGTTTGTTGCTCTGAATGCTCTGTGGGCTTAAAATGAAAATAACTTCTTTCTAAAACTCATTTTTATTTTTAGAAATGAAAACTCCTCAATGCACTGGTGCGTACTGCTACTTTCAGAAAACAGTGCAAACTTGCTCTAACAAAAAGGAGAACAACAAATAAGGTGTCCAACGTCAGAACTGTTTCACAGGCGCTTCATTATATATATCAAAATGAACTGTGCTGGTTTTTTTTAATGGGAGTAGTACAAACTGTGCCATGATGTGCCATTGCAAAATGCAGCTCTGTGAGACTCTGTAGGTATACCTTAAAAATCATAAATGCTTTATAATGAATTATTCCATTAACTATGAACTAATTATGCACTCATGTATTGCAGTTTAACAGCTAAATGTTGGGCATGAATGGTTACAATAACAAAAACTCTAATAATATAAATCCAAACTTGACTAATTATCACAATAACAATCACCACGTTAATAAAGATTATAATCCATTTATAAGAAAACCATTGGAGTGGTCATGTGAAAGAACTGTGAGTCCAAACATGCTGAGGCACAGACAGTAGATAATATTTTTTTTCTCTAGTGGCTCCCTGACTAGATTCAAACCCTACCTCATGGAAACAAACCCAACAGAAAACATGTTATTATTTTTTTAACCTTCTTATTAAATCATTCTGTCCAGAAGGTGCAGCCTTTCACACATAGAGAATATTTAATAAACAAGTTTGTTTGACATCCAGTGCCCAGCCACTGGCTGGCTAGAGCCTGTCCGGTTGTTACTGGTTGCAGCCTGCTGCCCTGCGTGACCGCACAAGCTGCCTTTTGTGCCCTCGGCTGAAGGCCTCATTGATGCCTGAGCTGGCCACAGGCCCAGGCCTCCAAACCTTCAGCCAGCTACAGGACAGGAAGCTGCACACAACTCTGAGTCAATACTAACATCAGGCTGCGTATCAGAATTTCAGAGATACTGCCGCTAACAAGACATGATATGATGTGCACTAGTTTCAGTAATTTTGTCGTGTTTTCCCCTCTGTTAGCAACGAAATAAGGTGCATTTGAGCCTGAAATAAGGATGAAGGAGCTCCCTGAGGGCATCGAAGGCCACAAAGTAAATATGTAGGGTCAAATAGCTGAGTGTAAATATGTTTGCACGGTTTTTTGGTATGCGCAGAGTTGAGGACAGAATAATTGAATCTGTGAGGGTCTGAATGGGTGGGCTTGTCTACATCGAGCTTATTTTTTAAGCAGAGATGATGATCAGTTTTTCCCCCTCTAACGTCTAAAAAACAGCTGTACAGCTGTTCGATTGCCAAAGCTGTCACCAAGCCGTTAAAGTGGTTTAAACTCTCCAAGTGAGCATTTCCTAAACTCTAAAAATTGGTTAGGAAACACAAAAAATTAAGTCCAGAGAGACATCGTGTTTTTCTGGCTACTGCAGCAATGTGAAAAGTCTCAGGGTGACTACATGCTCAGAGCAGAGGAATGCCAGACAAAGAAGATTTGGGATGGAAGGAGAAGAGACGACTGAAGTTGAGAGCAGAGTCGGCAAATCACTTCATCTCCTACAGGATGTTTGTTTGTTTGTTCTGTTTAAGATTGGCTGAACCCTTTTGGGGAAAAAGAAACATGTTGAGAGACTCTACCTGGACCTCAAACGGATAAAATGTTCATCTTCTACAAAGAGATCTTTATACCCAGACCTGAGCTGTTAACCCAGTGAGACAAGAGAGACGCTGTTGGAGTCCTTACAGAAAGCCCCATGCATGCAGTTTTGCATCCCACCTAACATAAAGACAAGCAGGCCCGTTAGCAAACCTGGCGCCTCGTCAGTGAAAGACTTCAGTAAGAAAACATGCAATCACAGCTGATGCAGCACATCAGCCATGTCTTTTCTTTTCTTTTTAAATAAAAGCTATCCTTGTTGTCCTTTTTCTGCAGACACTGTTTCAGACACTGCCCCAGCAACTAGGGACAACCAAGACACCGTGTCTGGAGATGAGCCACCCAGCGACACCACCCCCAAAACCCAATACTTAACAGACCATCCTTCCACCATCGACTATGATGATGCCACAGAAGTTTTCAACGAAGAGGAAGGTAAAGTTGTCCCATTTATGACTGATCAACATGCACACAACCACCAAATAAATTTTCTTTCCTAATTGTGTGTGTATATATGCGTGTGTGCAGGGGCCATGGGGCCAGGGGCCATCACAGCCATAGTTATAGCAGTCTTCCTGGGAGCATCTGTCCTCCTCGCTCTCATCGTCATCACACTCAGGAAGTTCACCGCCTCCTAGAGGAAACACATATGATTTGTGTGTGTGTGTGTGTGTGTGTGTGTGTGCATGTGTGCGTGTGTGTTGGTAAACCATGACTGTTTGTGTGCCAGTTTTTCTCTGTTGCTTCTCAGTTCCATCTTTCAACTCCAGGCTCGACCTTTGTGTAAAACGTGTCTTTTGCTTTGCTGAAAATTGTGGCAGGCTCCTTATCTGACTATTTGCAGATTTCCTAAATACTCAAATTGTTGCTCAACACGTCCACTTGTTGCTGGCTGGCTCTTCCAGTGCAATGCTGTAGCACATTTGTCACTTGTGGGTTTTTTTTTTTTAAACATGTTGTTTTCCAGTCATTCATGTTTCGCCTTTCTTCAATACATGATTTTGCTTCTATGTTAGCAGGAAGTGTTTGTGGTTATGTTTGTCTGCGTCTTACTTTTCCAATCAGTGAGAAATATATTTGAATTTTTTTTAGCATGCAAGGTTTATATTGGTCTTTCTCAGTAACTGTACCTGAATAATTTTCAAAAATATTTCCGAGGTGTCGCCGTGCAAAAGTTTTCAAGTTTGTATTAAACCATTAACAAACATTTGTAGAGTCAAATTAAGAAGAGAACATCTTTAAAAGGGGCTTTTTCAATGAAAGTAAACAGACGTGTTGTTTGTACCTGCAGAGCAAATATGCAGTTAGTGCTTGGATGAATGTGCCTTTTGTCTTTGCATGTTTGTGTGGGTTTTTTTGTCTCTCTTTTTTTGCAGGAGGAAAATTAGTATAGTATATTATGAGATATTTTTCTGTACAACCCAGAGTCCTCAGTCATACAGCTGGATGCTGCCATTTTATCATCAAGTCAAAAATTATTAAATCATATTTTAATAGTTTAATGTGTGTGTGTGATTGCACATGATTACTGAATTAACTGTAATTTTTTTCTTTTAGACATTATACATTTTCGTGTACAATTACAGACTGTATATAAAAGATGTGCATTTGGGTTTGAAAATTGAAGCCAATTCATTTGGGCTTTAAAACTGTTTTCTTTATATTGGCCAACAGGGCGCCATGTATCTGATTGCTAAGATGAAGTCAAATTCTTTGGGAGTTTATAAGGAAGGAACCCCACTGGTCCCTCGATGTTTGACTTCAGTAAACACTTTCCTGATCGGTTTGTACTTAGCTTTCACTCATATTTACCAAAACATTCACTTTGTAAATTATGGTACCATTTAGATATATAAACATGATGAAGCATGGTATGATCCGTGGCACCTTGTGACTAAAAAGTCATAAGAACCATATGGGCAAGCGATGTCCTTCAGTTCTTATTCACTGCTTGCTCATCACATTTAGTTTCAAAAACTAAACAAGGCAACTGGAAAAAACCTCCTTGCTCAATGCTTTTCATAAAACCAGACAGTGACTCACATCAGAAATTATCTATAGAACTAATACTGTTATTTCTTCTTAATTCTGAATATTAATTTTAAAATGTGATGTGTGTCTTTAGTAGTTAGTAGTCATCCTGTACTATAGTATATCGTCTTTCACTTCTGATGTTTAAAAAAAAAATCAGGTCAGATGAACAAATAATAAACAAATAATAAATGAATTAAGACACACACCATGTCTTAATTTATTTAAACTAAACAAAGCCAAAATTCAGAGGTACTTTGTGAAAAAATTAATACTGAGTTAACAGAGTAAGTAGATACCAGGTGCTGCAACTCAAATACACTTTCAAACTGATCAAATTAACTCGTCGTCAGCCGGTGTGTGCTAACTCAGTGACAAGAATTAAGGACATCGGCAATGATTTTAGGAAAACAGCTGTTGCTTTCCATCAATCTTGAAAGATTTATGAGGCAATTTTCAAAAAATTTGAAATTCACCTTTCCAAGGAGAGAGAAAACATTAAAGACAGTTGCCAGTCTTCCTCACAGTGGACACCCTGGCAAATTCACCCAACCCCAGACCGTGCAGTGCTCAGAGAAACTGCAAAAAACGACACGCCTCAGTTAGCATGTTAAATGTTAAAGTCTATTAAAGCAGAATCAGTGAAAGACTGAAGAAGCGTTGCCTGTTTAGACGGGATGCCAAGAGAACCTTTCTCTAAAAAGAACATGGCAGCACAGTTCAGAACAGCATGGCAACGTTGCAAACTCAGCACATCAGCAGAAACAGTTCATACCAGCTATGAAGCACGGCAGTGGAGGGGTGATGATATCGGTTTATATTGTAGCCACAGGCACCCGTAGCCACTGAGTCCTCAATGAACTCCTCTGTGTACCAAAGTATTCTGGAATCACACGTGCGGCTATATTTCCAACAACTAAGGCTTGGATGAAACTGGACCAGGCAACAAAGCAAATATCCTGAGGAGAAAAGAAAGAAAAGATTCACGGAGTTGTAATAAGTCAAAGTCCAAACCTCAACTCAAATGAAATGATGAGGCGAGGATTTTAAAGCGCGTAAACAAATGCCCACAAACCTCAACGAACTGAAGCAAGACTAAAGAAGAGTGGGCCAAAATTTCTCCACAACAATGTGAGAGACTAAGAAAGTCATACCGAAAACACCTACTTCGTTATTGCTTCCAAAGGTGATTCTTGAAGCTACTGAATCAGGTGGCGTACTTAGTTTTTCCCACACCGTATCTGCATTCTGGCTTAGTTTGTGTTGAATAAAGACACGGTGTAATATGTCATCCGCTGTTGTTCATTTGAGGTTGTATTTTCTTAAGAACTTGGCAATGACCAGATGACTTTTTATGCCCTGAAAACATTAGAACTGAAAGAGGGCATACTTTTTTCACATGACTGCATACAAAGAAACACATTTACAGAAACAAAAAAGTGTCATATGGTTTCCCCAAAAGTGAAAGCATTTTTTTTCCCCAGTTTAAAACTGAAAGCACATCTCGATCTCTTCTCACGTACTTGAATTTAACTATATTTCTCTGGTGACTGATGACGGTAACTTCAAGTATGGGCACATTCTCACACTTTAAATTCAGTTAAGTCATCTCAGCACATGAAACCAGGAAACCCTTAAACATAATCACAGTCTAAATCTGCTTCTGCAGCTTCTCACAGACTTAAAAGGAAAAGGGCTTTGAAAGCAGTGTTCAGAAATTTTCTTTCACATAGGACAACTCATAGCGGTACGTTTACTAATAACAGCACTACTACTGAAATCACAGTACTGGAGGCATCTTGCTTTATTAATAGTGACTGCTGAGAGACTGTAAACAAACTAGTTGTTGAACTAAAAAAAAGAAAAACCATGCAGGGAAGTCACATGGACAAGGCCGGGTCTTTATATTCAGCATTAAAGTATTATATTTAATTTTGATCAAATGTTACATCTTATATTATATAAATCTACATTCACATTATATTCATATCTCTTACGATTCATGCAAATCAATTTGTAAATAATGATGGAAATTCCAGTTTGAGGAAACAAACCGCAAGCAAATGAAAAATCTTGTGGTATTAGGCAAGATTTTTATCAATAACAGTTTCCTCAGCTTGATTCATTTTCAGCAGCCTGTGTCTACATCTGATATGTGTTCTACCTTGTAGCGTATCCTTTGCTAAGACTGCAGAACTTAAGATGGTAAAGTTGGTCTGCTGGTCACTAGGTTGGCTTACCACTTTGGTTCAACTTGAAATTTCTCAACAGCTGTTGGATTTCTCCAGTGTGTGATTCCTACTAGCTCACTGCTACTATTTTAGTGAAATATATCAAACAACGAGGATGGATTTCTTTAAAAAGCCACAGATGTTCAGATTTAACTAAGGATAAATAACAATAACACTTCATCTTGACGTCAAGAAATTTGTGACTTCTCTCAAGATCAGACTAGGAAATCTTTCACTTGTTGAGCAAATGTGCAAGTACTACAATATTTACCATGTTAGGTTTTAATTTTTAGGCGATGAATAATATGTCCCCTAGCCACACTAGGGCTGGTCCAGAGTAGGGATAAATGGAGAGGGTTGCATTAGAAAGGATGCCCGTCATAAAATCCTTGCCAAATCAAACATGCAGATCAAGACTAAAACAATAAATACCAAGAAGGCCACACATTTTAGTTAGGTTCTGGCAACAAAACCATTTATTTTGATTTAGGCACAGGTCACACTTTGGGTTCTGGTCACAGGCAGGATAAAAGGTGGATGTAGCTGACATGATGCCACCCATTGGTTTCTTAAGTCCCATTTTGATCAACATTGCCATTTTGGTTGCAACCCCCCCTCCCCCCAGATGTGATGAGGAAAGGGTGGGTCTGACTGTGAAACCGTTTCTCCCTGGGTCATGACTTGTCATTCGCAAGTGGTTAGCTAAGGACTTTGCAGTTTCATATCACTGACAATCCTCCATTTTAAAACTAGGAATGACCAAGATTTTCAAATGAAACTTCATCTTCTATTCAGTATGACCCAAAATGAGTGACTGAGCTCATAATAGTCATGTGCCCATGTTTTATACTGTCTACATTTTTTATATAACCTTTCAAGAGCTTTAACCAAGCCTTCAGGAGCATATCTGAACCAATAACAGGTACCTCTTGTTATCTCTCACAGCGTAAACCAACCCAAACCTAAAACTGAAAGTATTACAAGACAAAATAAACTTTTCTGATTTAAAGCACCAAAGCCACACTTCTTAAAGTAGCTAATGGCATAGATTAGCTCATAATACAAATTAGCTAGTAGTCTGTGTTGCATAATTCTAACCTTAAAGGCACATTTACCTTAAATTGCAATGTGGTGCAGTGGATTTGTAATATCATAGGCCAGTCATGTAGCCTTACAGGCCTACAACTACTCAAATCAAACATCAGCATGAAATGGCTAAGTCACAGCACGTAGATTTTATCTTTTGTCCAACCCAGTCAAAGTATAAAAAAAAAAAAAGTCCATTATGAGGTGTAAGGGGTAAGCAGCCTATCAGGATAAAGCCCACAGTCATTTTAGGAAAATATCTTGCCACTTAAACATAAACATAATCATCGTGAGTGCTGCTGCTCCTTTCTTCAGATGTTTACACAAAAAATAGAGTTCCAGCAGACGTGCAGGGCAGGTTCATGTTACTTTGATTTTAAACAGCTATAATGCATATTTGAACACATGCATGATGTGTGGCACAGTCAGGAAGTGGTGATGAAACAACAAAGGTTTGAAAAGGAGAAGTGCGTCTGGCACCGCGCAGACAGTCAGACACACTGAAACTTGACTGGCATGAGGTAAGAACACAACTAGATTTCACATTTTCCACTACATGTTAGCTGATCGTAAAAGAACGCCAGGTTAGATGTTAAAAATGCTGCCGTTACATGTAGATGATGAGTCAAACATGAGGAACTTAAATTACAAGACATATTTAATTTATTTATTTAATTTATTTTTTTAAATTTATTTACTTATTTACTTCTAATTAATGCTTACGTTAAAAGTCAGGTTTCATTGTATATATAATATGTGCTTTTTTTTATCTTCATGCTAATTATTTTGATCTAAGTGCAAAGGGCCTTCAGCTTGCTCGCTGTAAGGAGGGACTCTGCAGCCAGCGACACGTAGCACACGCAGTCAAAACCTGCCTGTTTTTTTAACATTAGGTTTATTTCAGTAGAGTGTCATCTCAATGCACAGACACTCATGTCAGAGATGTATTTGGGATTTTCCTGTAAAACCATGGCTTCACTCAAAATAGAACAGGTGTCAGGTTTGTCCATCACAACCTGACACCAACGCAATGAAGAGTAGAACATGTGACGAACCACCTGCTCATTTGTTTTCAACTGATATTAAATCGGTAAACACTCCGAGGTAAATGGGAATATTGTTAGTGTCTAAACAAATAACCTCAAATAGAGAACCACTTAACTGTGCTGTTGCAGATTGCAAAACTGATACAATAACAGAAAGTCATTTCCTTTGAAATCTTGATCATAATATATTCACAATTTTTTTCTAAAGGTCGAAGTAAAATGAAAGTTACTCCGGCCTGCACTTTACTAAGACTACCATTGCTACTACTTTCATGAGAATCAGGAGGCTAAAGGTTAATAATGTTCACGGTGCTCTTATGTTTGCTATGTTGTTTATACCAGAAACAGAAAAACAAGTTCACAGTTCCTGTACCCACACAGCTGAGAGGTTTCTAGTGGCTTGGTATAGTGGCGTATCATACAGCCCTTTCTGTGTGGGAACGAGTAACAAAAACAGGAAAGACAACTTAGACTGTTCTTTGAAATCCTGGCAGAGATGTTGAGATAAAATTAAATCCAACTGTTATATTGCAGTGACATCATGACCAACAACATGTCAGTGAACTGCAGTAAAGAGTTCGACCACGTGGATGGAGTGATGAAAGTTTTGGAGCTGGTCTTCTATATTCCTATATTTGTCGTCGGTCTGATTCTCAATATTGCAGCGCTGGTGGTGTTCTGCGGCCTTCTGCGAAAAAAGACTGAATCTGCTATTTCTGCTATCTACATGATAAACTTGGCTTTGATGGACTTGGTTCTCCTGTTGATTCTTCCCTTCAAAATGCATGCCACTAATCACAAGTGGCCCGCCAGCTTCCACGGACTGTGTTCAATTTTGGAAGGGCTTTATTTTTATGGGATATATGGAAGCATATACATCATTATGTGTATAGCTGTAGATAGATGGGTGGCTATCTGTCATCCGTTTAAATCCAAGCAGTTGCGTTCACCCAAAGCAGCTATGGCGACTTGTATGGCCGTGTGGATGCTTGTGTCTGCATCAGTCATTCCAGTCATCTGGAACTTCAGGAAAAGCAAGAGCAACACATTTCATTGTTTCCACGAGTTTTCACCGGAAGGCTGGAAACCTCTGATCATCATCAGTGTGCAGGTGTTTGGGTTCATTGTGCCTGCACTGGTGGTGGTTTTCTGTTCAGTTCAGATCATCTGGACACTTCAGCAGTCTGGCCAGCACAGCCCACAGAGCCGGGCCTGTGTGAAGATCATCTACAGCGGGCTGTGCGCGTTCCTGGTGCCTTTCACTCCGAGCCACCTAGCCATCTTCCTGCAATTTCTGGTGAGAAACCCAAAGCTCATTTTATGCTCATTTTAAGTGTAAAGAAACTGAAACAACAGTCCAAAGCATATCACCTTAGGGTCCATTTAGTAGCTGTCCTTTATCACATTTATTTCAGCAGGTAAACATTTAAAAATTTGATGTTTAAAGTCTCGAACTCCTTATAATCCACTGGGCTGCCGGAATCAGAAAAATATAATGTGTACTGAACCTATTTTATAAAGAAAAAAACAAGCTTATTAATATTTCAGTTAAAACCATTTAACTATCTGCAGGTCCTTTACAATCACTTTTATTTAATTCAGTGATACAGCTTTTTTACTTTGATTTGAGATTTATGTTGAGTATTCATCAGAAAAGTTCAGGGGGGGAGGATGCTGCAAATGTTATGACTCAGCAGCGCTTTTTATGTCAGTAGCACATATGGTACGACGAAACAAGCCTAAATGGTTGTAACCACTGGGGTATTTGTTGAGGGGTACTTGTGTATAATTTTGATACTTGCAATAAAATTCTTCTTCAAAAGTTGACGTTATTAGAA